GCGAGGCCCCGGTCTCGCGAGGCCCCGGTCTCGCGAGGCCCCGGTCTCGCGAGGCCCCGGTCTCGCGAGGCCCCGGTCTCGCGAGGCCGGGGAGCCGCATCCGCCGGCGGGGGGCGGGGCCGGCCTCTCGCTTCCGGAAAGGGCGCTTAAGGCGGGCGACCCTTCGTGGCTCCCTCAGGGGCCACAGTGGCGGGGTAGCCCCGACCGCTGCGGCCGCGCAGTTCCCGGACAGGACGCTGTCCGCTGCCAGATTCTCACTTAGTTCCTACAAGGTCACTCCCTCCTGCCTCAGTGCTAGCCGGACCGGCTCCCTCTGGGGACTCGGAGCGCGCGGGGACGCGGACCTCCCGCGGGAAGAGCGCCCTCCGCACGCCGAGACGTGGGAGATCGCGTTCCGCAGTTCCCACGCTCCCCGCTTTGGAGTTTCTTCTAAAAATTTTAGGCGGGGCGCGGCGGCTCACGCCTGTCATCCGGGCACTCTGGGAGGCCGAGGCGGGAGGATTGCTCGAGGTCAGGAGTTCGAGACCAGCCTGAGCAAGAGCGAGACCCCGTCTCTACCATAAATAGAAAGAAATTAATTGGCCAACTAAAAATATGTAGAAAAAATTAGCCGGGCATGGTGGCACATGCCTGTAGTCCCAGCTACTCGGGAGGCTGAGGCGGGAGGATCGCTTTGGCCCAGGTTGCTTGAGCGAGGCTGACGCCTGGGGCGACAAAGCGAGACTCTGTCTCAAAAAAAATAAAAGTTTCTTTTAAAACTTAAATGCCGCATATTTTATTTATCTTGAGACAGCATCACTCTGTCATTTAAAATGGCCCGCCCCACGCCGCAAAGTAGCGAACTGAAAACCAACGCGCCCGCGAGCACCGAGCGAAAGGCGGCGCCTCTCGGGCCGGGACGCGCTCGGCGGTCCGGCGGGAGTGCGCGCTTCACCTGCTCGCCTCTTCGGCATCACACCCAAATCGTCGCCTGAGGCCGTTTTCACACACCGAGTGTATTCGTTTCCCAACGGCTTGTACGGCTCGGCGCTCTCACCTCTCCCCCTGTAAACCGCAGGGCGCCGCATCTGAGCGGAAACGGCTCGTGGGGTCGCCATTTTGCCGGCGGCGGAGTGTTTCCGGTCCGGCGGGGGTTGTCCTTCCTTCTTCCGTAGGCCCGCGGCCGGAGCGGCTGCCTCGTCTCAATCTGGCCTATCCGGTGCATCCTCGTCGCTGCGGCGCCCCTCGCACCCGCCGTAGCCATGACTGAGCAGATGACCCTTCGTGGCACCCTCAAGGGCCACAACGGCTGGGTCACCCAGATCGCTTACGACCCCGCAGTTCCCGGACATTGATACTGTTCCGCTTCTCGAGGTAGTGCGGGCGGGGCGCGGGACGGGTTGGGCGCTGGGGGTTTGCGCGTGCCGCAGCGTGGCCGGCCTGGCCGACCCTGCGTGTGGCCTCCTGCCGGCCTCCGCAGTGTGGCTGGGCGTCTGCGGACCGGGGGCGGGCGGAGCGGTGATGACCCCAACATGCCATCTGAGAGCCGTGGCTGAAATCCAGAGCTGTTTCTGAGCTGCGCCCTGTTCCGCCGGTGGGAACGCGGTGGGCCCCGGGCGCTCCGACTCGTGCCTCCTGGCCGTCTTTCACCCTCGTCCGTGTGCCCGAGTGCGTTTCGGAGGCTTTCGTGCCCTTCCATTCTTTCGCCCCCACCTATTTAGAATTGTCTGACGCCAGGAGGTCGGTTTGCTCTCAGTCCTAAAGCTGGAGCGCGCCGACAACGTGTCACCTTCAGCCGAGCATCCCAGTCCTGTGGTCCTGCGAAAGTGGCTTTGCAGCATTGACTGCCACGTTGCAAAAGATAAAAATAAAAATAAAGAAAATTTGTTCAGCCTGAGGCCCCATGGGTTTTTTATATAAAACTGAAAACGAGACAATAGTTTCTAACGTGACGGAAACGTTGCTTTTTTATCTGTTATTATCTATGCAACTTGGGAAATATGTTTCAGAGTAAAGTTAAGAGAGGTGTGGTCGGCCTATGCTTCCACGAGTCACCCTGAGGCTTCAAAACTAGCCCCGAGTTATAATACAGCCTCAACTGCGCAGCTTGTGTTATTGCGATTTCTGTCGTCACAGGAGGCCTAGGTAACAACCAGCAAAACAGCTGTGTTTCTGAATTTGAGAAAAGATCGGTTCGTTATCTCTGAATCTCAGGAAAAGGTTGTCCATGATGCTTGGGGCGCCTGAGTTAAATTATCAGGGTTGGCTTAGCTGTACCTGTGATTTAATTCCGGTAGGGGGCACTCAGCCTGGCGCTAATCAAATGCATGTATATCTCCTTTCTCTTTTAGTAGTCTTTTTTTTTTTTTTTTTTTTTGGAGACAAGTCCGCCTTTTGTTGCCCGGCTAGATTGAGTGCCGTGGCCTCAGCAGCTCGCGCTCACCGAGCAACCGTCACAACTCCTGGGCTCAAGCATCCTCCTGCTCTCAGCCTCGCCGAACGTAGCTGGACGACAAGGCATCGCCCAACCATGGCCGGCTATTCTTTTATATATACTATTAGTGGCCAATAATTTATTTCTTTTATATAGAGCGAGTCCTGTGCTCTTGATCAGGCTGGTTTTCGAACCGTCCTGACCTGCGAGCAAGTCCGCCCCCATGGCCGCTCCCAGAAGTGCTAGGATTGATCAGGTGTGAGCCACCGTGTCCACGGCCTTTTATGTGTCTTTAATTTGTCATCCTGTTACCCCAACCACTGCAACCTTGAGGCATCCTGAATTACCCAGTAGGTTAGCGCATCGGCTGCAGAGTTCCTCACTCGTTTTCCTTCTCTGTTTCACCTCTCCTTAGATAAGACCATCATCATGTGGAAGCTGACCAGAGACGAGACCAACTACGGCATCCCGCAGCGTGCTCTGCGGGGTCACTCCCATTTCGTCAGTGACGTGGTCATCTCCTCGGATGGCCAGTTCGCGCTCTCAGGCTCCTGGGACGGGACCCTGCGCCTCTGGGATCTCACAACGCAAGTAGCTGCTCGCCTAGCTGGGGGTGGCTTGGGAGAAAGCTGGGCGGAGATGAGGTGGGGGGGTGCAGTTTCCCAGGGGACGTCAGGCCCATCTGGAGCTGTAAGCAGAGTACGCGGAGAAGACGGCTGTGCTGGTCTGGCCTCACCTCCTGTGCTTTGAGTTGAGTTAGCTCAGAGTTGCCGGGGAGTGGTCTGGCTGGGAATTTTGGCCAGGTGCAGCAGTTTGGAGTTGGCAGCACTTGCTCTCGAGTGTTTTATCTGGAAAGCCCTGTCCTGGATAG